AAGAGCAGAGACTCGTCTCGGGAAACAGCTACCTAACCCGGTTTTATACAGAGGTCTACGTGGAATTTTTTAACCGAACCTACGGGTTGAGATACCCCACATTAAATATCGGCCTTGTCCCACATCTGACCGCGTGGGGCGATTGCTACATATCCTGCAGTTGGCGATTCGTCTCCAGCTGTGCTGGTCAAACTCTGCCTCCGGGGAGAGAGGATCCCCAGACGAGGCTTTGTCCAAGAGCAGAGTCTCGTCTCGGAAAACAGCTACCCGACCCCGTTTTATACGGGGTCTGCGTGGAATCTTTAGCCGAAACTACGGGATCGGATCTCCCACATAAAAATCGGCCTTGTACTACATGTGACTGCATGGGGCGGTTGGTAGATATCCTGCAATTGGAGATTCGTCTCCAGCTGTGCTGGTCACACTCTCTGACCTTCGACATAGCCTCGTCTCGGGAAACAGCTACCCGACCACGTTTTATAAGGGGGTCTACGGGGAATATCTGGCCGAGTACTCGGGCTCGGATAACCCACATTAAATTCGGCCTCGTGCCACATCTGACAGAGTGGGGCTGATGGTAGATATCCTGCCGTTGCAGATTCATTGTGGAATTCACTTGACTCACTTCTAGCAGTTGACTACTACTTCTACGCGCCGCTGGCGAATCTTATATGCGTTGTTCTTGTCCTAAGTATTATCGTTCATTACTAACCTTCGTTTGATTATTCTATTCAGTAACCTTCCCTAGGTTACAACAGAAATATAAAAAGAAAGCCACAAAAAGACAGAGGTAAAAAATATAAAGTAAAAGGAATATACAAAAAAACGATTTTAACAATAAAGGAAGATGCAATGAATAATACAATGATACACTGAAAGATACAAACATTCAATGAAAGATACAAAAATAGAAAAGAAGAAAGATACAGGATTTGACAGAAATAAATATACAAATAAAAGAATTTGCAAAGAAAACAAACAATAAAAATATAAAAAGATAGGTAACAGGCGTATTACGTGAATACCACAGAATATATGTTTATCTGCAAAAGAACAACACAAAATGCAATTTACAAATTGGACGTACCAAATTCAAGCAAGTACAACAACGTAAATGTCTGTGAAGTGCTTTAACAGAAAGCAGCACCGAAATCCAAATAAACATTGGAATAGTCAACAATGCCTTCCAAATGACAAGCAAAGAATGGTTTAGTTTGTTTTGCTTTACGTCATATAAAAAACAATGGTTATTTAATGACGACAATATATATATATATATATTTTTTTTTTTGCTGGTAATCCTTCTTTTTTTTTCAAAAATGAATTGCTGGTGTTTTTTTAAAAACTGTACTGCGGCTAATAATTATTTTCCCCAAAATATATTGCTGGTATTAAAATCTGTTTTTTACATTTTCATGCCATGAAAATGTAAAAATAGATTTTAATACCAGCAATATATTTTGATGATGAGAATACAATGGACTCAAAAAGAGAAAAATGAAAACAAATGGGACATTTACAATTAACATCAGGAAGAAACAGTTTAAATTTTTAGTGCACATATAAAATCTGACATGTTTTGATCTCAGTTTGTGGGTTACCTATTTGCTTATAGGTGAAACCCTAACGGATGCTACCACCCCGGTCAGAGTGGATCTGGGAACACCAGCAATTAAGAGGTCGTTCCAAACTGGTCAGAGGCCTTGCAGCCGGATGTAGTTCATCGTCATACCCAGGACGCAAGTAATAAGAAACAGGCATATTTCTTTAGCAATATGTAGTTTAGTGTACTGAACCGTTTCCTAAAATGTTTCATTTTTTTATGGCAGTGAATGCTGGATAATGTCCTCAGAAATGAAGAAGAGTGAAATTTCGTTTTACAGAGGCATGCTGAAATAATATGAACTATGGTTCTATGGAAGAGTGCTGCGAGCACCATGAAATTTGGTTCTACAGTAGGATCATGAGAATACCATGGAGAAAAATGGACACTTGTAATTAACATCAGGAAAAATAAGTTTAAATTTTTAGTGCACATAATGAAAGATGGCTTGTACTATTGGATGCTTTCAAGATAAGACGGGCAGATGAAAACAGCCCTTGACCTACCTGAATTTGTGTAAATGGGAGGCACAATAGAGTAGACGAGAGATAGCAAAAAGACAAGATTTACGAAAATCTACAAATGGCCAAAAGGACATTTGGGAGAGCCATGATTGCCAACGTCCTGAAAGGCTATATAAAAAAAAAAAGTAACTCGCTATATTGGTCGTCATACGATTAATTAACAGAAGATAAATTATAAAATTAGAACGAAGTGTAAATTTAAAATTCGGCCTCGTGCCACATCTGACTGTGTGGGGCTGATGGTAGATATCCTGCCGTTGGAGATTCATTGTGGAATTCACTTGACTCACTTCTAGCAGTTGACTACTACTTCTACGCGCCGCTGGCGAATCTTATATGCGTTGTTCGTTTCGTAAGTATTATCGTTACTTATCATCCTTCGTTTGATTATTCTATTCAGTAACCTTCCATAGGTTACAACAGAAATATAAAAAGAAAGATACAAAAAGACAAAGGTAAAAAATATAAAGTAAAAGGAATAATACGATTAATTAACAGAAGATAAATTATAAAATTAGAATGAAGTGTAAATTTAAACGGTTAAATTTGATTTTGTGCGAACCATAAATATTCATGTAGCTCATACAGCAGAAAAGCTGTTACGAAATAAATAATAAAAAAACAAATTGCCTTGGCAAACAAATCTCTGTTCGATCTTAGATCGTTGATGGCACATTCAATAAATGCCTTAAAAACAATTAAAATTAACTCGAAAGAAATTCTAGAAAGGAAAAAAAATGAAGCTAATACTGGTTCAAAATTACCGTTGTTTGAATTTTTACCAGGACTTCCCATTCTTAGAAAAAGGATCATTCACAGTTTTCTATTGATTCCTTGCACTATTCTTATTATGTTCGATAGTTTTTGTAATCGGGTAAGGTCTTTGTGTTTCTCTATATATTTTTTTTTCTTTTTTCTTTCTCTCTTTATTTTCTTTCTCTTTTACAGTTTCAACCTTTCCTCTGCTGGAAGAGTTCCATCCAACGCTATTACAGAATTTCTTTTCTCCGCTTCCAATGTCAACAATAATAATGTTAATCTGTCACTTATGATTTACCCTTTGTAGCGAAAGGCGTGTCTGCCCGAAAGTCAAACGCCCAGCTGAATCCAAGGGAAATGAATAGAAGTTTCAAATCGATCGAATCGACAGGAAACTCATGGATTTTCTTCCGACAAAGGAGAGAGGAAGCCCAGTAATGAAGACGCCGACAATGAGGATCAGGAAAAGAAATAAATGAAGATCTTGAGACTTTCTCACTCAGCATGTCACTTAAGAACTGCAATAAATATAATTCAGGTTTTGGAAATATAACGGAATGTGGCCGTGAAAAGGTCTGTAAATATAATGTTAGCCGTATGCACGTCTGTAAATATAATGTTAGACGTATGCACGTCTGTAAATATAATGTTAGCCGTATGCACGTCTGTAAATATAATGTTAGACGTATGCACGTCTGTAAATATAATGTTAGCCGTATGCACGTCTGTAAATATAATGTTAGACGTATGCACGTCTGTAAATATAATCTTAGCCGTATGCACGTCTGTAAATATAATCTTAGCCGTATGCACGTCTGTAAATATAATGTTAGACGTATGCACGTCTGTAAATATAATGTTAGCCGTATGCACGTCTGTAAATATAATGTTAGCCGTATGCACAATTTTCCAAAATCGCATTTACAATGTTAGGGATATTTCAGAAGTGTATTTAAAAATTACTAAAATCTTTATTGCATGTGAGTCTACAGAACTGACTCCGCCTGATAAGCTTAACATTTACAAAAGCCACATCAGGCCGAGAATGGAGCACTGTTGCCATATATGTTGATTTTTAAGCGTAGCTTCAATGTGGTAAAAGGCCACCGAGTATGGGGCACCCAGTGAGGATCCAACTCACTACTTAGTCGTAATTGGTTTAGAGAGACAAGATTGGTAACCATTGCTCGAGGTGGACAACTGTTGACATATATGGACAGAAGCTTCACGGTTTTCACTTTCCAGTCTTGGTAGAGTCCAAATACGTCTCCGCGTTCTTGCGGGCGACAAATTTATTTTCAGCCTTGCAATTCCTTTTCCTCCAAGAGGAAACGGGGCAAGATTCTCGTTGCTCTACCGCTTTAGTTTAACCCTTTCTAACCTTCACGGCTAAGATCCACCATGACACACGCATTGTACCGAATTCCCTCAATTGGTCAGAAGTTAGATCCACACGAACAGCCTCGTTGCATTGTGGTATCGAATCTTAAGAGGATGCTTACCGGATTAATACAATCTTAACCAGTTCATGTTTAGGATTCAGCGTCATTTTTGTCATATACAGACCGTGACTCTAAAATCTTACTGTGTAATCCTCTATCTCGAATGGCTCTTGGGCATTGAACATAGTGAACATTATTGTAAAATATATGCATAATTATAATGGCTGATTACTCATTTTTCAAGAATACCGGTTTGCTGGGTCAATCCCTTTTGCAGACGCCTGCCCAAGCAGATGCTTGCTTGTCCAACACCCACAGTGTGGTTTATTGTAAGTGAACCTGAGAGATCCCATCATATAGCGAGATCCAGTACACTGAAAATATCGGCCACGAAAACTTTGAAAAGCTAACATCGAATTGTTTCTTCTACTCAGTTGCAGTCAGAAGATTGGGGTCAGAATGTGGCATGGTTTTCAGGCACATTTTAAATGTGCCACAGTATGGGATCATCTCCCCAGATTGATAAGAAGTGCGCCAGGGTGAGATTCGAACCCGGCTCTAACATTGTCAGTAAGCGTACGCTGTAACCACTGGAAAACGAACACGGCTGTCCGGTTTCTCATTCCGAGACACCGCTCGCATGACCTTTGATTAGTATCTGGAAATCAAGTG